ACACACACACACACACACACATGCACTACTACTACTAATATTGACAGCGGCCAGAAATGGCCACGCCGCTTCCCAAAGGGAGGTACTGTCAAAAAGGTTAGGGGTGAGGTAAGCAGTGCTTCAAATGGCGCTCCAGGTTCTGTCGCCTCCGAAAATGACGTTGATTACAGACTCGGCAATGATGTTGAAAATGCTGGCGATCAGTCACTGTAGGGCGCTTCGGGCGGGGTCCACAGCGATGGCGCTTGAGGCCAGCAGTAGACTTGAAAGTACGCTGGCAGGCTGTACATACCGGGACCTCGGCAACAGGAGGAGCATCACTAGGCGTCGCCGCGTCGGTCGTCACAGTTGTCACTCTCTTGGCACTTATGCACTGCAAGCCCAACCCTGCTCCGGAGCCATCTACTGCAGGCAGGACACTGAACTGACCCAGGCTGTTGTGCACATGTGGCACAGGGAGCTGTCGGGCTGCTGCGTACTTGTACCGGGCCATGTCAGCGGGACGACGAAACAGGCGGCCGCAAACGTGGCACACAATCGTCTTCGGGGCAGGCTCCTTCACCCCCGCTGCTTCCGACACAATATCACGCAACTCTCCCCGATCGCACATACACTCCCCCCCACCCCCCCCCCCCCTCTCTCTCTCTCTCACTCTCTCTCACTCTCTCTCTCTCTCTCTCTCTGCCCGAATATCTGTTCGTCATCTGCAACACCAGGCAATTCGCCGTCTCATTTTGCTTCCTTACATCACACTTACATCCTTATTTTCTATTTTCTGTTCTACCTATTTTTTTGTATTTGATGCCTGGTCCTGCCGCCGAACCCGAGACCCATGGTCGGGGGAGGTAGGCCCAATTCAGCAGTACCCTGCTCCGGCTTCCCGCTGGCCCCTTTTCCTTTATACATATATAATTGGTTCAACATCCGAGTGTCAAATTAAAACATTTTAAATCTACGACTGCTCTGCATGTTTCAAATATTCCCTTCAGATCACGATGAATGTTAGTAGTAGTAGTAGTAGTAGATTTTATTATTTTACTAGGGGAGTCCCAACAGGCGTTGCCTTTTTACTGGGAACCCTAGGTGAATTTTTACCATGTTTACATACAGAGTAAGAGACGGGGCCTGACGGCAGTCAGTGGGAAGAGCATTCCATCTGTCTGCCGCCAGGAAAGAAATAGAACGCATGCCATATTGCGTAGAAACAGGCGGAAGAACTAATGCGCGCTGTGCCTGGCCGCGCGTGCGAGCCTGGTGTCCAGGCACAGCAGCCCTAAGCTGGAACAAGGATTGGAGAAGGGGACTAGCAAGATGTGGGGTCAAGCAGCGGTACACGAAAACATAGAGTTTAAGATTTGTGCGCTGTTCAAAAGAATAGAGATGATATTTGCGGAGAACAATTTCAGTAGACATCATACGGTCAAACCCAAAAACTTTCTTCATTGCTATGTGACTGACCGTCACGATTTTATTGAACAGGGTTGCGCTGAGACAGTGCAGATAAGCGTTACTGGCATAGTCGAGAGTCGATTGCACAATGGATAAATAGAACGTCCTCTTCGCTTCAGGTGTTAGGTTTTTTCGGCCATGTCTGAAGGCGGCAATCTTGCCGAACACCGCACCGCAGACCTTCTCGACTTGCGGCTGGAAGGTGAGATGCTCGTCGATGAGTAGTCCGAGATACTTCACGGTGGCTGCAGGGGTGAGGGGCTTGCCTTTACAAACTAGGGGGATTGGTAGATGCGGCACAGGTTGGCGTGGGCGCCGAAGGACCAGGAACTGCGTCTTGTCAGGGTTCATGAGAAGTCCTTTGTCATCAAGGTAGAGCTCCAGAGCGCTAAGGTCATCCTGAAGCTTTCGCAGCATGACAGAGAGGTCCGTTCCAATGACGAAAAAGGCGATGTCATCGGCATAGAGCTGAGAAATACTGTTCCGAACAATCTGTGGAACCTTGCGGATGTAGACGCAAAAGAGGAGGGGGCCAAGGACGGACCCTTGCGGAACTCCCCTGGTGCAGGGCACAGTCCCACCACGCTCCCCATTGACCACGACTTGTTGACTTCTGGAGGACAGATAGTCCGCGAACCACTTCAGCACCGAGCCGCCTAGCCCTACGTCAGCCAGCTCGTTGACCAGTTGTTGATGCTGTACACGGTCGAAAGCCTTGCTCATATCTGCGAACAGTATCGCGCATCGCTGGCCATTGTCCAGTGCTCTTGTCCACCTGTCTATGGAAACAGCGAGGGCATCTTCGCAACTGTGCTTTGGACGGTACGCAAACTGCTCCAGCGGCAAGGCGGACAGCTCTGGGTGGTCACGGAAGAATTCAGTAATCTGCCGGTGGACAACCTTCTCCAATATCTTGGAGGCAACGGGCAGCAGAGATATTGGCCGGTAGTTGGTGGCTGCAAGTTTGTCCCCGGACTTGAAGAGTGGGCACACGTGTGCATGCTTGTAAGAGGCTGGAAAAACGCCAGAAAGTAGGGACTGATTGATTATGGATGTTAGTGAGGCCGTGATATTTGCTTTGCATGACTTTAAGATGCAGGGAGGAATGCCATCCGAACCCGCGGCCTTGTGGGAGTTTAGAGTAGTCAGTAGAGCCTCAACTGTTTCAGTGTTGACCAAGGTGAAGTCAGTCAGGGTGCTAGGTGCTGTCGGATCCCTGTCGGCTGGTATCTGCAACACTCCTGGCCTGGCTGGGTCGTGGACAACTGCCGCAAATGTTGCAGTGAGTGCTGGAAGTGGCGCTGCAGGGGTGGATTTCGTGGTGGCTCGACCAGAGAGCTTATTTAAGAGACACCACTGGCCTCTGGGGTCACGCTTCATGTTTCTGAACTGTTGCATTAGGAACTCCGACTTCAGGCGCCTGTTCAGAAGTGTCCCTTCCCTTCTCACTGCCCGGTACCGTTGCATTAGTTGTTGATCAGAGGGACGTGACCGAACCTTTCTGTGCAAATGCTTACGCTGCTGTAAAAGATATCGCAGGTGAGGAGTCAGCCAGGGTTGAGGTTTGGGTTTGCTGAAGGATGGTACGCAGATGCGACGGACGGGGCAAAGTTTGTCGTAAGTTGACGTGAGGACGGCTGTTAGGCTGTTCGCCAAGATATTTACATCTGTTGCAAGGGGGAATGACGTCAGTTGTTCGTCCACGGTTCGGCATAGAGCGTCCCGGTCTATTTCTGTGGCGCTCGGCTTCCTGATATTGGTGTAGAGTGGACAGGTAGACATGGTTGGATATGTTAGGTGGGTTATAACTAGGTCGTGGTCGCTGATACCGTCCACAGGGTGCACTGCTGTCTGTGTAAGCTGGACTCCAGTGGAAACAAGTACCAAATCGATGCAGGTCTGCCCATGACGAGTGGGAGCAGTGACAACATTCCTGAGATCAAACTCGCAGCACATATTCCGGAGATGTTTGTAGTGTCCACTGCGAGGCTGCAGAACATCCGTGTTCAGGTCACCGAGGACAATAATGTTCGAAAACTGACGTAGAATGTTGTCGAGTTGAAGGCTGAAGAGTTCCCAGAACTCGACCTTTGCGTTGGGTGGACGGTACACGCTGCACACAACCAGCTCGTTGGATTTGGGTTTGGAAGACGGTATGCGAACACGTACAAATATGCACTCCACTCCCGGTATACATTGCGTTGGGGCAGGAGAGGAAACAAGAGACGCGTGCACATACATGCATACTCCTCCGCCATGTAGATCTCTGTCTTGTCGATACAATGTGTAGCCAGGAACGTGTAAAAGAGAATCGGGAATGCTGCTGTCCAGGTGTGTCTCGTTAATGGATAGAATGTGAATTTTATGATCGTGCAAGAGTTTGTGAATATCCTGAACCTTATTTCTGAGACTACAAATATTTATAAGAGCTAAAGTGACATTACGACAAGTATTAGTGTGAGCAATGATCCGGTGGCTTACCGACGAGGTGGTAGGATTTGAGGGACTCCCAGGACGATCCTATTGCGTGCCCGGATGTTCCAGTGCACCCCTGTCAGCAGAGCCTCGTTCCTGCAGGAGGTGTGTGATCTGCTGGGGGGTGTACGGTTGGTACGTTTCGTCGAGAATCTCGTCGTACGGCATTGAGCACTTCACGCCTCTACGTCGAAGCTCCTTGTAGCTCGTCACGTTGTTCTTCCTGGCTGTCTGTTGCTGTCGTGTCAGGTCATTGGCCATATATATGGGAGTTCCATCTTGTAGTTTGAGGTTGAATCGTGTACGGTATACGGCAGACTTGCTGGCTTGGCTTTTGAATTTGATCCGTACAGGACGGGGACCTCGAGACCGCTCAGTTCCAATCCGTTCTGCGTGCGCGACTTCATAGGAGTCTATCTTCAGGATCCGGATGCAGTCGTCAAATAGGCTGTCGTCCGCTTCCGGGATGCCGCGAACAATGGCGTTGTTGCAGCGCTGTTGACGGTCAACTTCTTCCTGCACCAAAGCAGCAAAGTTGACGACGTTGCACGTGCCAACAACCCCTTCCGGGGGCGGCATGTCCTTTTCACCGTTCGTAGATCTACGGTACGCTGCCGTACCTGTACTCTCAAGACGAGTAAGGCGAGCCTCGAAGATGTCCAGCTTCTCCTTCAATGCCCGATTTTCGGCCATTACAGCATCGATCTTGGCCGAAAATTCCAATGACATGACATCGAAGCGCTCCGTAAGAGCACGTTGCTCCCGCAGGATGTCAGAGAGGAGACTCTGAACACTGTCCTCTCCCTTGGCATTGCTATCGGTCTCCAGGGACACTTGCGCGCGAATCACGTCAGGTGGTGTGCTGGCTTGCGTTTTTCGGCTTGTTGCTGACAGCTTGGATGGCGTGGACTCAAGGCTGGGACTGCGCCTCGCTGGAACCTTTGCGGCAGCCTTTGCGGCAGCACTTCTATAGGTTTGGGACATGACAGAACAGACGTGGAGTCAAAATCACGCCTGGTTCGCCAAAAATTCCGGAGCTTCAAAAAAAAAAAAAATGTTCAGCGTCGTATAATCCCTGCTATGGACACAGTGTGAACCATGATTCGGGTCCGCATTGTCACAACACGTGGGGATCTTACAGATGTACTTGTCAACATGGATATGAACTCACGGAAAATGGCAATACTTATACTTGCATCGATATTGAAGAATGTATGGAGTCTTATACGCCTTGCTATGGATATTCTCGCAGTGTTAATGAGCCATACTGTATAAACACAGCTGGAAGCTATCAGTGTGTTTGTCGAGAAGGCTATGAGATTATCGGCAATGGAACCTTACTTCAATGCCGGGATATTGATGAATGCTCTCTTACACCTCACCATTGCCCTGCGAACTCTGCGCAAAGTCCAGAAAATTGTGTGAACAGTATGGGGTCCTACTCGTGCGATTGCTTCGAGGGATTCACTATCCGAGATAATGGCCTGATATGTGCAGGTGAGTCACGTGATATGTATACTTCGGTGAATCACTTGTTTTTCAAATCAATACACTTTAGACCTAGGCCTATCTCGTATCTTAAGCAGGTACGCCATGTTGCTCTCTCGCTCTCTCTCTCTCTCTCTCTCTCTCTCTCTCTCTCTCTCTCTCTCTGTCTTTTTCTCTCTCTCTTTCATCAGTTCTAGTCTCAGTATCATTATCTTTTACTTCTACTTTCGAATTGGGTATGTGAATAGTGAAATACGTGCTAACATATCGATATAATTATACTTATTGGGATTCATCCGGAGAGTATTTGAATTATCTGGATCGAAATGTATTTGGCCGAAGGTAAATGCAATTGGCGTGGTTGAGTGACCATTTGGTCAGATTTAGTGTTCACCAGGGGAAACAGTAAAACAAAATATGATCGCTAACGGACATGCCCTCGAAATACGATGTGTATATAGGTTGAGTAAGTTGACAGGACAGCATACTACTTCTCAGCGCAGTAATTGATTGTAGATATTCTTGCGACATAATCGGTATCAGACCCAAAAGAGGCGAAAGGCTGCGTAGCTGTAATTTTTAAAGTTTCACGCATTTTAGCAATCATCAGAGAGCAGCATTCAATCTGGTATAATGCATCGTCGCTGATTGCTCTTCATATCTTGCCTCGATGATCAACACGTCTTAAATATTGTGCTCCACCAACCTTTCCCTGTGCCTATACAAGAATAAATGCGTCTTGGGAAGAGACAAGACATGCAATCGATCTGGATGGCCAATTGTTACGAAATGGTTTGTGTGAAGTTCCTGTGAACGCCAAAACGGGTCATACAATTGCCCTTGTCTGCAAGGCGCATCGAGATAGGATTGCGGGCGAAAGCTAGATTCGTCAATCATAGATGTTCATTGACCGAACAAGCCATCTATGCATGAACACTTTGAGAATTGCTCTTTCTTTCATGCGGGGAATATGCTCAACACAGCGACATTCATTTAATATATAACGTATTCTTGTGTCCGATTTCCTTCGTAATTCAGCTTCCAGTCCACCACAATCTCCTTCAACTACGTTTCAACACGCAAATACTGCACCTGCTACCACCAGCTCTGAGGTCCGTGAACAATTCACACCACACCCGTCATTACCACCCACAGAATACGCCAGTCATCGCGCCACACAACTGATCACTTCTAGCGCACCACTCAATGTCACATCGCCTATCGCCATACCGGCTACAACACAGTCGGACACAATGATGCCAGGCTCAAACACATCCAGCAGCTCTGTTACTATACTAGTGTCGTTATTAGTCATTGGCCTTATGCTCATGACTCTGCTGCTTGCTGTGGCATTCTGGAAACGACGACAGATAGCCAAATTCTTCCACAAAGATGAAATCACCACACGCCAAGCAACATGGGAAGGACAGATGGCGATGAGTGCTACATTTCGTGCTGACCGTGAGGAGATGCAGTTATCCCACCAGCCTTCCACTAATGAATATGCTGTGGCTGTGGTTGGTGCACCACACGAGTATGCTACTGTTCCTGAAAGAGACGGGCATAGTGGAGAGCATATGTATAGCGAAGCTACAGCCCCTTCCAACATACCAATAGTACGCTCCGGGCACCGTATTCCGCCGGATACTACAGACGCATCGATTTTTAGTGCAGCGACAAGCCGTGTTGGTGAAGATCCAGATGCGGAACGATATACTCAGCCTGATATCCAACGCAGCGTGGTGAATTCCGCAAACCTTCAAAGCCAATATACATACATAGAGAGTTCTTCTCGTGTACTATCGGCTACGTGCCCTCGTGTACATGATACTCCAGGTCCAGCACCACCTTCACTGCCAAACGACACCTACTCTGTGCCACATTCCCAGCCTGTCAGTATCCATCCATCTTCACGGAGAGTAACGACGCCATCAGACTATCTTGAGCCTTCTGATTGCTAATTTCCAATACTGCAGCCTCATCCGAAGCCAAGGTTCACAACGGGGCACCAACACCGTAACCAGCCAAACACATATCGGTACATGTATTATACATGTACATATACATATACATAATGTATGTACATAATGTATATACATAATATACTGTAAACAATACATGTATACTGTACGTACTGCATGTTGTTTGCTGTATGACTTGAGTGTTTTCGTGTTTTCACATTTCCACGCTGTACAAGACCTCTCAATGACCTTGTGTTATGTTAAAATTATGGGCACGAGTACGAAGCAAATACCAGTGGCCACATAATAATGTGTATGATGGAATCAATCCAAAATTGCATAACAGTGATTTGCGAGCGTTTAATCTTTCTGTGCCAGGATTGCTTCCCATACGTTTCCACTTCATCCCCCTACACATTTTGGTATTAGTACTTTCACGTTCCTCGCCACTGCTACTACTTTGATTTTGTATCTCTTACTTAGTTTAACGTTACTTGTTCTACTGTAGGTTTAAACTGGCCTTCATTTCATTAATTTTTTTAATGTGATTCATGATTGGTCCTAAAAAGGCAAACACCAATATGAATTTGAAACTCGGGTATTGAGCCAATATTAAAAGTAGAAAGGAAAAGGACATATGGAAACGAGTTAAGAGTATATATAGTGTATATAGTATCTAGTTACAGTGGTGGAGAGTTACTCTTAACTCGTTTCCATATGTCCTTTTCCTTTCTACCAATATGAATGCTTGTCAAGGGGATCTCAAGCCTTGATGATTGCTAATGCTAGGGATAATGATGTACTTCGTGTAGAATGTCATGTACATATACAGCGAATCCTATCGAAGATGGCGGTTCATTTTTTCATGAAAGGAGGTAGGGTGAAAATGTAAATTTATTAGACAAAATGTTACTAAGGCCTCTCTTACGGGCAAACAGAATACAATTGACAGTGGCATGGCGAATGATTAGAACACAACACCAAAAAATGAAAACAATTGTATGTGTGAAAAGGGTGAAAATGTGATACACTACTTCCACACTGAGATGTTGCAGTTGTTGATGATGTTTTTGCCGTTTCAGATGTTGCTGATGTTACTGTGGAAAAGGTAGTGTTCAACGAAGATTTTGTGTTTAATTGGAGTGGAGGTTGTAACGCCGCTGGAAAACATACAGAAAATCAGATACAAAAGATGTAATGAACATGAGGTGCACGTCAATTATAGCTGGTTGGTTGGTTGGTTGGCTTATTTTAATTCGCACAATAAACGGGAACTAGGCCCAATGACAAAAAGGCGAATGGATAAGCCGCATTTAGAAAAGAGAGGACAGGAATTAGGAAATTACGAAAATCTCTAACAGAGGAGTCAAGCGAGTATCAGGGGAGAGAGGGTGGTCGAGAAGAGCTAGGGGGCAGGCTAGTCTGAGAAAGAGTATGGTAGGCAACGTATGCTAAACTTTTTCTGTCTTGCTACGGTCCGAACATCATCCTGCAGCAGGTTCCAGAGTACAGATCCTGCGACGGCCGGCCGAGAAGCGCCAGAGCGAGTGAAGGATGGCTGACTGAGCAGACCACTGGACCTCTGATGACGGGCTCTCCTGCCAGCGGATATACAGACAACGTGGCACTAGCTTTCCCGTGAAGGTACCTCCAGACAAACACTAGTAGCTTGTGCTTGCTGAGTTCGCCTATCCGGTACAAGCCATGATGTACCAGCAGGGGATGCACGGTTGTGTAGGGTGGGTGGCGTCGATAGCTCGGATAACCCTGTTCTGCAGCAGACCCAGGCGATCAAGCTGGCGACCAAGGAACGTGGGGAAGAAGGCATTACTGCCGTAGACTATGTCAGGGATGACAACAGTCTGGACGGAGAGACGGCGTGCAGATCGGGACAGGGAGCGACGGGCTCGGCACAGCGCACCAATCTTACGGATAGTCTTGCATAGCTCTAGGCATACTGGAGTTATCATTCAGCTCGTCGACGCCACAAACATATCGTCCAACTGGCGACGCTCGAAGCCAGAAAATAGTATTTGAGGGATACAGCTCCCCAAAGGCAAAATGGTCAGACAGTGGTATACTCTCGTTACATAGGGCAACGGCGGGGGTTTGTATGGAAACACGGACACGCATCGCTTCATCTAGGTTTTGGTTTGCTCCTTCCTTCGCCTTTTATCTCCTTATGGTCGGTTTTTCGGGCCTCTTTGTAGCAGTGCATTTCACAGTTTTTAATGTTGAGCAACAGAAATAGAATAAATTCAATACAATACAATACAACACAATGGTCACCTATTTTGTTCATGATCTACAACAAACGGAGGACATGGGTCCTAACTGAAAAATTCTTTTTCCCCAAGTATAAATACGTGAATTTTGACAAAATCTCGTGATATGGTGTAAGGACGAAGAAATTAACGCGTTCAGGAAAAACCTCGGACATCTGGTAACTGTTCAAGTTTGCCCACCAGGTACCTACTGCCATCGTTGAACTTTTTGGAAACATACGATAGGTAGGACACATGCAACTAAACGACAATCTTTTACCAGATCATCAGACCACCACTTTGATGATGATCGCTTTTGGTGTGAAACATGGAGTCACTATGGGCGCGTTCGATCACACAAATCGGTCAATTCTAGAATTAGTTATTGTTGATGCACAGTTACACAAATTCCATCATTAGAATTGATTTTATCCAATTCCGTCAATTCGAAAGAGAGGGCGGAATTTCTCTAATTCTGGCGCCAGAATTGCACACTCGGTGTGTTACCAGTCTGGTCATGCATGACTCAAGTTAAGGAAGAGCCTCCCTGGCGGATGTGGCGCGAATGCAGGGCTACAACAAATTCCTGAATTAGCGCGATGATCGCGGACTGGTCAAATCTTCGCGTGAAACGAAACCTCTCTAATGATTGTCTCCCGCCACAAAGCTGCACGAGCGTGTTCTCCATGGTGACTGGCCCCAGCGTGTTCTCCAAGGTTGTCACCTCTCATGCCACATGCACCAGTACGTGTACACGATCGATTGAACAAGATTCTGAACACGCCACCCTCCGATTCATGCAAGAACACGCCAGTCGGTACTGAAGCAACAAGGACTTACGTTAGTTCTGCGTACATGTACATGTATGACCAACATGACTCGTTTGTTGGGTTTTAGGGACGAGAGGGTGAATATGGAGAGTTATCACTCTTCTATATCGACCTCCACTAATTCTCGTGATCCTTGACTGGTCCTATATTACCCATATCGCCGCAATATCGACCGCTTATATCGACCGCTTGTATCGACCACTTAGGCATTGTAATCTTTCGACTTTGACTTAGAATTTTTCTCTCCACTTCAAAAAGAAAATTGAAAGAAAGAAGACAAAGGAAGAGAACAAGCAGGATTCGAACTCACAACAGTATGAACCTCAAGCAACCCCTTATACCACCCAGCCACTGTGCTGCAGATGCTGAACCCTGTTGTTCTTACAGTCTTGTACCCAAAATAGGCAACATCCTATGTACACTATAGTACAAAATTAATGCTATACTAAAAAGGTTACAATAGCTCCTAAAGGTTCAAATTTTGGGGTTATGGCAAAGGAATCGTGATAAATAGGATATTGACCTCGACTTCGGTCTATATGGGAAATATAGGCCTCGTAAAAGACCTCGGCGGACCTCGGTCTTTTACTCGGCCTATATTTCCCATATAGACCTCGTCTTGGTCAATATCCTATACGTATAGGTCTAATATTACCTTCAGCCTCGTGAATATGGGCGAATATTCACTAGTTATACAAACCTCGGCTTCGCCTCGGTTTGTATACAGTACCAGTGAATATTCGCCCATATTCACTCGGCTTCAGGCAATATTATATACATACATGTATAACGGAATTACTCAATCTGCGGACAGAACTGTTTCGTCCTTTGTGGACTCGTCAGCGCAGCACAGAGGAAATGAGGCCGAACCTGATAGAAATGGAAATAAAAATTTCCAATCAGGTCCGAACGTACCTTGCCAGAGTGCTCAAACTGAAAAGTCAGTGAGCTCTGCATAACGCAAACAGCAAAGGCACTACCCCACGCAAGAGTGCTCAACTGCTACAAGAGCAGGAGCGAAATACTCAATCTGCGGACAGAACTGTTTCGTCCTTTGTGGACTCGTCAGCGCAGCACAGAGGAAATGAGGCCGAACCTGATAGAAATGGAAATAAAAATTTCCAATCAGGTCCGAACGTACCTTGCCAGAGTGCTCAAACTGACAAGTCAGTAACGGAATTATATATTTATATTTATTACAACATCTCAAGACTCAGTGGAAACACCGATTGTCCTCGCTTGTCCTTGTCCTCGATTGTCCTCGCTGTTGTGATGGTGATGTGAGTGCAGAGTTTGGATCGGCCAAGAGCGCAATGTGGTGGTGTGGTGTATTGGATTCCATTTTATACTCCTTCTCAAAAAGGACCTGATTATGCCAAAATGTATGCCTTCAATTACGCCTTCAATAGTAGGTGTGTATAACGGCCTAATTGAGCATCTGCCGTTGTCGGATGCCATTTTATGCTCTTTCTACAAAAGGACCTGAATATGCCAAACGTTATGCCGGCATAATCCGCTTACCCTTGGCTGCTCCGTGAGCTTCGTCTGCCAAGAGCGCAATGTGGTGGTGTGGTGTATTGATAGCAAAGCGAATATTGATAGCAAAGCGAACAGCGATACTCGCCTACAACAAACAAATGTAACATTCTAGGCACATTTTACCCTTTACAATGTCCTCGACTTATGAATAATAGACTATCGGGAAGATTCAACTCTTTGATTAGTTTGTAGCTTCCAGGTTGGCTAGTGATGCAGCCATACGTACGGCAGATGGTGGAAGCATATCCTATCCGGTTGTAAAGTTAACCAATCCGGTTCCCTAACTGCTCACTTGAAGTTAATCACTGCTGTTACTTGTAGCATCTACATCTAGAGATACATGTACATGTGTTGTGGTCAGTTAAAAGTCATTGATAACTGAAATTCCATTGCTGATACTAGAACAAGTACCTGCAAAGGCAACACCATGTAACCTAACCAACTCTATCATCACAGAGTATTAGTCAAACAACCGCCAAAGCCGCACAGCTTGCATAAAAACCGCACTTGATTCAGTCCACACCTCAATAGCAAAGTTCTGAACATATCACATTCCCACCCGATGCGCCTTCTACTCATGCTTTTCAAAGGACTATTAGCGTTTGTATGCATTTAGCGCAATAGGGCTTGAAAGTGCTACGTCACTCCATAGCAATGGAGTTGTTGTTGCTGTTCGTTTTGCTACTCTTTCTTTTTCCCTCCCCTTATTTCTATTTATCGCCGTGGTTGGCAATCACCCACGCTCGTAATATTGGCCGGTGTTTTCGCCGAGTCTTGAGATGTTGCAATTCATAATAATAATAATAGCAACAATTTGAAAAATTCGAAAACTGGATCCACCTGGATCCAGTTTTTGTATGGATCCAAGCACATTTCAAGCGGTCTAACTCACAGCAAGGTGATGTTGCCAGTGAAACTGACTGATTTACCTAGTGGGGGCGGGGTGACAACTGGTGGCGAAGTAAAAGTTGCACCTGCATACGACATGAGTGGGTTGCTATGCACCCACATACTGAGGCAATAGCAAAGTCACACCTTAGTGGATCCAAAATAGAAATCTGATGTCAATTTACTACTCCAAGGCCGTTTTTGACGTCATCACTTTCAAGCCCTATATACAGCCACACTGCTTCAATGGCTCTAAATATCCTGAGTTCTTTGTTCAAACTCTACGAGGATGACAGTAATAATTTATGTTAATGCATCGGCTAGCAGAGAGACAAGTGATAGGACCTATGCCGTGAACCTACAATGTACGTGGAAATATTGAACAGAAGTTAGCGCAGTAGCATTGTGAATGCAGCATACAATATTTGAATACCAATGGAAAATGATGAAATTGGCGTACAGGCTAAAACACCCTCTGAACACAGTGAGTTGCAAAAAAGGATGTGCAATATCGCAAGGTTTACAAAAGCACATGAAGTCAAACAGGGGAGAAAATAACTATAAAGCTGACTCACAAGGCAAGTGGAATTGGTCGATGACTTCATTCATCGTAACGTTATTATGCATGAGGTGTAATAAAGAGATTGAAGTCATCACCTTTTTGACACAAATTACTTAGTTCTACACGACGTGCAGAAGCAATGAAGGAATGAGTTAATACAACATCTTCCAACTGAATAAGAATGATCTTATTCGCAGCTTATCCGCCAAGAAGATAACCAAAACTTAAAAAAAGGTAAAAGAAAAAAGAAAAAAAGGTACACATATGGATTTCACCAATTAATCAACATGGATTCAGACCTATAGCTACGGTTCGTATCGTGTTAGCGTCACGCGATGGATTTGTAGAAGCACAGGAGGTGTAAACTTAGGTCTGCTGTGGTTCCGGTGTTGGTACCACCACAGGATATTGCGTGTCCTGACCATGGATCTCGTCATAAGGGAGATACTTGGTCTGAAGAGTCGTTGAGTGAAAGGATAGTGTAGTGTATTCATAGACGGGCACATCACGAGCATCAGGTGCATTCGAAAAAAAACTGGAGTATAGGTGTGCGCATGGTTATTAGGTGATATTTCTGATATGTGGGTTTCCGATGTGCGACTTATAGATCCGCAGGCGTCACTTGACTCAGTAGGGCAGAAACCCCACGTTGTTGTACCAACAGTCTTGGTTGTCATAAGGATCTGCGTTCCCGGAAGGCATTGTGGTGTGGGATAATCTCTACCCTGAGTGAGTAGAGCAGTAAATAATGTATTGATCGAGTGTCGCTGCCCGCTGTACAAGTGTGTTCAAACACACAATAGTATTATGGAATCTCCATGTAATCAGAGGCATCTTCCTGAGTGGATACTGTTTTCGTTGAACCCCGAGACCGATGACAAGTCGATTCTTCGTACACTGGATTGATGGTAGTGAGTGCTCGTACAGGTGTAATTGGTATCACGCGTAGTGGTCCGTCGTTGGAGTTCCCCGTGAAAGTCAGTGAAATGTTGTCATTCTCGGGAATAGACTGCAGGATGTAGAGTTCATTTTCAGTGAGGTCGGTCGTGTTGGATGGGTCTCGCCGTACACATACTGTACTCGTTGAGGTTTCGGGAGGTGCGGAGTTTTTCTTGCTACGACGAACAGCAATGATAACAGCCAAAGCAGTAACAAAAAGTAAGACTGATATAATAGATCCTATTATGATGTAGAGGGTATAGGACGCTTCTGGTTGAGCTGTTGACTTTATCATAGTTGATTGCACTACGATCGATATGGGATCAGAATCCCTTGATAGTGGACGTGTTGCCGCCATATCGAGCTGATGAGAACTTGTGGATGGAATCATTGCTAGAAAACAGAGTGGAATGCAGAGAAGGAATGTATCACGTACAGATGGAAAGCCAAAAAAGGTAAGGCCACTGTACCGTCCAAAATCAAAATGTCCCTACTTTTAGTCTTCCAGGAACTGTATGATTCCAATGGTCTGGGTCCGAACCAGCTGAGACGCCTTTCTGCTATGCTCCTATTGGTCGTAGTTATAATGAAACTGGCGTAATTACTGCTGCAATGAGGGAGACTAGATATGTATTTGTGTATAAATTTCTCTGAAAGCGTCACTTCCTTCTTATGGAACTCCGGACGAAGTTTAAGCCTTCTGAACGGCGTCTTCTGGACGCTGAATTGAATGGCCTTAGTCCGAAGAGGTTGCGATACTGCGCGCGGCCTTTGTTTCTAATGCAATGCACGCCTCGCACCAAGCCCATTAGACTCGTGCAGTATCCCGACATTTCATCTTACCCCATACTGTACCTCCCAGTTAATTGTTCCGACTAACAGTCCACCAAGGTAACAAGATAATATACAGTCAGGTAGTACAACTACAAGGCATAAAACTGACAGGGCATGAGACATTCAACGTCTTGACACCTAGCTTCAACACATCTACCAAGCGCAAACCAACTGCATTTCAACTTGGAAATCTCAGGGCCGGAAAGTTCCAATGCCAGGTCGCTGAATGTCTTAGTATCTTAGGACTATTGGATAAATATCTGAATTTTTGGTGTAAATACATTATCATACTCCGAGCATCACGTTAGTGAACACCTGCAATTTGGGGCCTGAAAAAGCGCATAATATGTATCAAATCTTCACTAGTTTGAGTGTATCAAAAGTTGCCATTATACTCCAGCAAATAAGGTAATGTACTAAAAACATTTCACGGTTCGCCGGAGACTCGGCTGGAAGCCGGGTTTTCCGCATCCGTAGGAACGCCACCACCCTTCAAGGATCAAGGCGCAGATTCAGCTCCTAAAGCGGTGGGAGGTGAGTAGATCAGCTCACCAGCAAGTGGTCAAAGACTTAAAATCCCATTCACTGCATCCATGTTTTCCTCGTGCCAGGCCACGAGTTCCCAATTAATTGCGGGTCGCAGCACGGCTAGAAAGAATCCTTCCGCTTCCAAGCAGGACTTGAACCTGGCACCCTCTGTTTCTCAATCATGGTCTTAGACCATCCCACTATGCCTGCCTGCATGTATGTTGTGGTACATTTCCCCCTGTAATCATGATAAAAGTCTTGTGGCAGTCAAATGAACGCGACGTTCAAATACGTATACATTGTTGCTCATGCCATGCATGTAATCCCTTTTCATCGTTGTTAAGATATAAACGACATTAAGGAGACAGGAATCTGAGCATATCACTCACCATCACAATCGGCACCATTATAACCAGGCAGGCATGGGCAGTCGTAAGATCCGTTCAAATTCTGACAATACCTGTTGTCACCGTTGGTCTTGTTGTTACAGCTGTGAGTACCGGATTTACACTCATCTATATCGGAATATCAGCGATGTGGACCAGTGATGTGTATGAATAGCAGCGATGTAGATCAGGGTGAGCGATTATACAGACAACAGAAACACATTGGCACAAACCCGCATACCCAGATAATCATAAAAATCAAAAAGGACAAGTAGCTGTTCGCCAATGATGATCGTACAAATACCATGATCTAAACTCTCTGTTATCCGCAGCCAATCAGTGCTCAATTTCACAAGATTACACTACCTCTACACTTCATAACTCAATCTCCGGATAGAACTATTTCGGCCTTTGTGACTTAGCGCTGCACGGAGAAAATGAGGCCTAGCCTGATAGCAATATAAAACGAATTTCCGAAACCAGATTTAAACCAGGCCCGAACATACCTTACCAGAGTGCTCAAACTGACTGGTGTATCCATATATGTTCTGCCTGTTGTACGCATTGCCCTTTTGCACTCGCGTGTGTACGCATACTAGTACACACATGAATCACGGTTTTCTGCCTGTTCTTTGCTATGGACAAGAAGTCTTTTCTCTTTGTCTTCTGAAAGATAAGTCACAAACCCTACCTCGTGTGTTTGCGTTTGTTGACACAACACTGACAAGTAAGTGAACTCTGCGCTACACAAACAGCAAAGGTATTACTCCACATGAGAATTCTCACATTTGTCAGACATCTACATGTGATTTCGGGAGTTTACGGGGTGGTGAAGTATTTTGGGGAAGAGTGTGTTGCTCCCTACATGGGAGCTCACGCTTTTCCTGCCGACTTGAATTCTCACTTGACTGACTCACGACTGCCATCCAGAGCACACGAGAAGTCCATCGAACCGTTCACTTCGCAAACCTGCAAGAAAGCACCACTCCCTGCTCAATACACAGTGTTTCGGGGAATTCACCCCTCATCAGTTGAGCTTGAGTAGGATGAGGAAGATTGTGCCTGAAGAGCACCACTTATATAGTGGTGGCACTGGTGATGGTTGTGCCTGGTAATTACAAGTGGTATTCTTCAGGCACAATCTTCCTCAGCCTACTCAAGCTCAACTGATGAGGGGTGAATTCCCGGAAACACTGCGTATTGAGCTGGGAGTGGTGCGTTCTTGCAGGTTTGCGGAGTGAACGGTTCGATGGACTTCTAGTGTGCTCTGGATGGCAGTCGTGAGTGAGTCAAGCGAGAATTCAAGTCGGCAGGAAAAGCGTGAGCTCCCATGTAGGAAGCAACACACTCTTCCCCTACTATCGTCGAAGTCGCACCAACCTCTTCTTAACAGTGAGGTATTTTACATGAAGTATTCAATTTTGATCTTGGACTCTTAGGGATCAATGACAATGCATTATACAAGAATATGGTGTAAGCAAAAGCCTCAATTCAATTGTAATTACACACGATTTTGCTCCTTCCGACACAAAACAGACCTACATTCAAGTACATAATTATGATCATTGCAAATTACTTACCTACTTGTAAACATTCAGTACCATTAGGAGTATCTTGGAAGGCGAATCCCTCGACGCAATTACACGAGTAGGACCCCATACTGTTCACACATCTTCTAGGACTTTGCGCAGAGTACGCAGCACAGTGGTGAGGTGTAAGAGAGCATTCATCAATATCCCGGCATTGAAGTAAGGTTCCATTGCGGATAATCTCATAGCCTTGCCCACAAATACAGAAATAGTTTCCAGCTGTGTTTACACAGTTCGGCGCATTATCCCTGCGAGAATATGTATAGCAATGGTTATCCGACTGTGCACATTCATCAATATCGTTGCAGGTATAGGTATTTCCATCTTGAGTGCGTTTATATCCATGTTGACAAGTACACCTGTAAGATCCCCACGTGTTGTGACAATGCGGACCCGAATCAGGGATAGGATAATATCTATAGCAGGGGTTATGCAACGCTGAACATTCATCGTAATCTGAAGGGAATATTTGAAACATGCACAGCAGTCACTGATTACAATGTTCAGAATAGCTGATCATGCACGAGACACGGAACGCAACACGTCAGATTCATTCTAAGTTGCCGTACAAGTATAATCATTTGTGGCAACACCACAGATAATCACCAGACTACTGATCTAATCGTTATCCGTTTTATTATTCAAGCGGGTACCTTCCCAATGTCTGCAATTTGACCTACGAATCTATGAGAATGGGACTGAGTTTTATGGGAAACCCAAAGAATGGAAAGGAAAGGATTCCGGGCAGAAGAAGAAGGGTGCTTGGCTGGGACCACCAAGAGCAACATTTTCCGAAGTTACTAGCAGTATATGGAGGCCATTTTAACAATAAAGTACTCCAAGTGAATCTCCAATGATGAGCATAAAAATTTCTTCATTTTTAAATATTTCAACATATTTTTAAAAGTAACGTAGTTTGAAATGGCCTAATCCTAATTCATGCAAATGGAAAAGAGCCCTCTCATCGAAGAAAATACATTTAGCAGCAGGAACATACATGTCATGTACCATAATGACTCAATGAAATTGCTGTACACTGTACTGAACATCTTTCAAGGTGTTCAGTAAAACACATTCCAGCAAAGCGGCTTACTGTTGTATACGGCGCCCGCCTAAATGGGGAGATTTCCTACCTAACGAAGGAGAAAAAATACCATACCTTCTTGAACGTGCAAGGTGATGAACGGTTCATGTGCTTCATTGAGTTGAAACGCACACTGTCTGAGAGGAGGTGTCATCTCACTCTGGACTGTGAATTTGATTTGCAACCCATGCGATGATTGCACGGAGAAATTGAGATTGTGACTGGATCCAAATTTACTACTATGGCTGAACCTAACTGACCTTTCATTTGACCAACCATTGTGGTCAAACGACTTAGACGAAACTGAGACGCGACATCTTCCGTGTGCCGTGAATGATATGGCTATAGCTGCAATAGTGCAGCTCCCTTGAAACTCGAAGTTTATGCTATAAACACGACTGTAGACGAGGAAGCGATCTGATAGTGTACCAGGTATATGCGATGTGTACCACTTGAATGTGTTAAGTCCACCGTTCAAGCCTTCGTAACTATATTGACGATGAGCGACTGGACGGCAACTTGGGGTCAAACACCATACCTCAGTTGTGATGACAACCAGTGTCGTCACTAGAACGATCAAACTGTAGTTGGTCTGGAAACAGACTGTAATGCAGAGGATAGCAAGGACAACACGAAGCAAAGTATGAACCTACCGCTACCTATAATTACATGTACTCAATCTGCGGACAGCATGCTGTTTCGTTCTTTTTGAACTCATCAGCGCAGCACAGAGAAAATGAGGCCGAACCTGATAGCAATGGAAATAAAAATTTCTAATCAGGCCCGAACGTACCTTGCCAGAGTGCTCAAACTGACAAGTCAGTGAGCTCTGCATAATGCAAACAGCAAAGGCACTACCCCACGCAAGAGTGCTCAACTGCTACAAGAGCAGGAGCGAAATACTCAATCTGCGGACAGCATGCTGTTTCGTTCTTTTTGAACTCATCAGCGCAGCACAGAGAAAATGAGGGGGGTATAATTACATGTATGTACATTGCTAGTTGTATAACGTCTGCAATCAACAAGACTTAGTGGTGGTTATACACTTTACCGAGGCATAACCCAAAAAAATAGAAATACATGTTTATTGCATTAATACTCGGTTAACCACTGGCCATGGAATGACTTTTAAGAAAGTGAGTTGTGTAGACCAGTCAAGTATAACAATGATGGGCTGGAAGAAATCAAAATGAATTGTTTGGGGCGGATATACTCGCTGCCAATGTAGCAGTGACACTATCTACCACCCTTACCTGAAAAGTGCACCATTATCACACAATTGTGTAAGTATCAGGACCGAGACGACGTTCCAACCCAGGTCAAGCCAACATGGGGCAGGATTGGTTACGAGTTGCTGAGGCAATCCTTCCTCGATATGATCCACACAATCATAGACTGACCTTTTCCGAGAACGAAGCCAACCTGAAGAATATCTTCATGAAATTAGCACTGATCAGTATGGAGCCTCTCCACTGAGTAGCTTTTCAATGTCAATTTGTGTACGAAATGATTTGAGTCGGTCATAAAGATGCACTTTGCCTACGACATGTTAGAAAAGCAAAGTTCTGACATCCGTGTTGCCACCGGCTATGCAATGGTGTTGAAACGCAATCAGCTTAGGATGATTAGCACTTTGCAGGTCACCAGCATGCCTGATGCATATACCTGTGGGGATGTTACCAATGATACACTACTGCAGATCCAATGCGCCACACTAGCACTGATATGCAAGTAACGAAAAGGTACAATGGTTCTACACACGACAGCTGTGGCGTGATGGCTGTAACTCATACGTATACCAGCTGTTCTCTTACAAAACGTGTACAACATTGGTTGGCACACATCCCACGAAACAACGAGATTGACATGTTAATCGTGTCGTTGGAAACCGCTATCAATGATGACCTCGCCCAATGTGTCTTCTGGTTTGCCAAAGACTTGCACTGCACGTCTGTCTAGTTGTTTGGCACACCTGCGAGGCATGGTGTCTAATGAAACGTCCAGAACAGATGACAATAATTATGTTGAAGTCAGTCACCGGATTGTGCATGTTTGTGTGATTACCATAAATGGACTGTTCAGGTTAATTAGTTGTATGCAGTATGGTGTCTTAGGATTGGTAGTGATTGGGATCATCGAGTCACCGCTAGACGGGTAGGAGGACCAATCTAAAAGCAAACCTGAGACCTAGACCAAGAGACTGTTAAAACGTGGTAAAGAGGGTGAACGTATGCGGCACTGATAGTTGTGTGTGCAGGTTTAGAGTGCATACAGTGTATTTGGCAAGTAACGGACTTGGTTTAAAAGATTTGAAATGCAATGAGAGGAATTTTGCAAAGAGAATGTCATAGTTCCCGTACGGATTGAGCAAAGCAAAGCACGCGTCCCACAGGATGAGAATCGGACAGACCATAATACAAATCAAGTCTGATAGCTAGTGTGCTTCAGTTCACCAAAAGCGGTTACAAATGTAAGCTGAGCTGATTGCTCTCGGATTGCTTTTCCGCAGCTCAGTGACGGCGGATTTTACACGTATCCATACATACAGGATCAATGGCTCTGTGTTTCTCTCTAATGTGTATCAGTATGATTATATTTTAGGTGCAGCATGTACGATTGCTGTTCAAATGGCTACTGATGGCTATACAGTTCCTTGGGTGTCAGTGAAACTGCATCCGCTTGGCCCTGATGTGAGTCGTGTGGTTTACCATGTGTGCACCATGCGTCTCTAACAATACAGTAGAGCTCATTGAAGTACGTACTAAGGCAGACTCCTGCTTAGAACGCATATTGTTCGATGCACTGGTGTCATGATCCAAACCAAAGTATTTTGAGATAAAGTGTAACTCACTCAGATACTACGTACCATGTACACTTTCCTGCTGCCCATGCCCTACTTGCAAATTTGACACCTTTGGTGATGCGACTATGCTTAGATTCCCATAACACGAGCTATTAAAGGATTCCACGTGAGTATTAGAAGCGGATTTGGTCCAGCTTACAAACAAGTATTAGCAAGCTGAATTTTCCAGCCGCCTGTTTGTATTGGCTGCCCATTAACCATTGCGAAGCTGCTCTCTTGCACTTTCATAGCTATTTGAGACTGTAAATGCAAGTCCTAAATGAAATCACAAGTTGATGATGCGAATTAGGAGTGGTGTGTAGTTGGAATCTGAGGATATACAAAAGTACTTATACAAAGCTAACACTTGCATACGTACTTGTGTGTAAAAGGGGAAGGTTGGCATTCTCTCCTCGATCAAATGTCTGTTGAGAAGAAGAAGCACATTTGTGTAACCTAAGGGGAGTCGGGGGTGGGGGCTTGTATGGCAAAAGACCCAGTGAACATGGATAGAGTGAATAATAAGGTTGTGTTTGCTGTGTGGAAAGTGCTTCACAAATCCATAGGAACGAGATATTCTGAGGGTAGACGGTTCCGTAGCGATGTGATGTTGTGCTCGCGTAAGGAGTTGTTGTGATCCTCTTCTGGCAGGGCAGGTTGCAGGGCAGTGGTGGCTGAAGTGATTTCTCCCGATGTGTCTTGCAATGATTTCCCCAGCGCTGGAAACTTCAGATTCGAATAGGGCGCTTCTGTGAAACGAGTATCGCTTTGGTTCATTGTGCTAATAGCAGCAGACTCACCTTTAGTGTGTAGTGCATCAGAAGCAGAGTCCGACTCATGGACCATACCTGGGATCGGACCAAACATACTGGCCACTACCGTACTAGGATGTGAGGGACTGGTATCAACTTCTAACTTGGCATAGTCGTTCACCATATCCTGAATAATGCCAGGATCTGAAGGGGAAGTCTGGATATACTCGTACGCATGCATACTGGGCTGTGTAGACGTGATTTTCGTCTCCACTGTGCGGTCTTCTCCGGGTTGTGGTGTTTCTATTGGCGCTGCTAGTCCACACACTGCATACACGCGAATGACGCCGTCATCATGCGCCTGCTCGTGTCGCAGGGTGTTATCTGCTGATGAGTCACGTGACAGTTCTTTGGGGTCTACACCTGTTCGGTGATGGTGGTCTCGCGCAGACGACTCCGGCCTGCCATGGTTGGTGCTCAATTCCGTGCTGCCATCGAAATGGATCAGTGTCCTTTGAGGAGACTGCCTTCGCTTGCGGTGCACTAGACATACAACCACAAGCAGTAGGATGATGACCACTCCAGAAAGCGCAAGAATGATGTTCAAATTGGAATTACCTGAAACAATGGCTGGTCTAGATGCCGTTGTCGACAGGGACGTGGAAACTACTGGATATGGGCGAGACGATGAGGTCTTCGTGGTTGCTACTGTAGATATTGGGCCGAGTATGGAGTCAGAAGACTGAAGTGGAGTAGCAGTAGTGGCAGTGCTCGTGGCTGCTATTGTACGTATTGGGCCGGATAAGAAGTTAGAAGACCGAGGTGGAGTAGCAGTAGTGGTAGGACTCTTGGCTGTATCAGCTATCTGACGGGTTTGTTCAGATTGAATATCCTTTTGTGTCGGATTTTCGGTAGATGTACGCACAGTAGTTACCATGGTAGGTAGGGGTTGCACCGTGCTGCCATCCACAGTCGGGGTGTGTTCACCAGTAGTCGAGGCTGAGAGACAGGAACAGAAGTTAT